GGGGGGGTGGTATATAACAGGACGGCATTGTTATATAGATTATATAAAATGGTCTCCCGACGAATCCCTTTTATATCTGAACATCAGCAGATGACCGATATATCTAGCAAACCATCATCAGATGGTGGGTTTATAAAATCGCCCTTCGTCCGAGGTCCGTCAGTCCGGCCTGGACAATTCTTTGGTTTACTAACTTGGATTTCATTTTGAGGTAGTCGAACTTACTAGCTCGGAACTTCAAGCTGCTTTACTCGAAATTTCGACTTCCTTACTTGAAATTTCGACTTAATAACTATTCAAACCAGGCTCTGTTTGATAGAATTTTGATATATTCTATCAACTGGCTTTGTTTGCTTATCAAATAACCTTATAAACAGTCGTAAATGTACTCTCTGTGAAATAATTTAGCCGGTTTACACAAGCATCCAGATCGGACAGAATCTGGTTTACAATAATCAGCAGTATATCAAGCTTTAGCAAACGACTGAGCTTCAATTTATTATAACATACCCAAGATTGTACCAAAGCGCTTCTTTATTGCAATCTGAGACATGTCCTTAGATCATTCTAGAGGGTTTTTGCGCTTTAGGCGAAACCAGTATTTCTGTATTGACAATGCATGCTCATAATAAAAAAACAAACTATTAGAATCTATTTAGTTACTTTTAGTCCTGCAGCTGTGTGGGTTTCACTCACTTTCCCTCCCATTTTAACCCTTCCGAAGCAAGGTCGCTCCACTACATTGAAATCCTTGGTCCGACGCATTGTTACTTGTTTAAAGCATATGCATTTCAAATTAAATTGTTACAGTGACATAGCGCTAATGTGGCATGGTGGAATAATAAGCTGGTTGCCTTTGGAGGCAATTACACAGAGATGCCCTGCCTCCGTCACACTTGCTTACATGCATTGCACACATGAACATCCTTAAATGACCTTAGTTGATACTAGGACCTAAGCAAAGGTTTTGGTTTGGATCAGTCTTGTTTAACGTCCTATTAACAGCTATGGTAATTTAAGGCCGGCCACCCCTGTGTCTGAGATACATGCGTGTAGTGTATGCGTGTGTGTTTTTGGGGGCTGCGATATGTTCGCGTTTTTCTTCTTGTGATAGCGCGGAACTGAAGCTGACATTATAGTGCTACCTCACTGAAACATACTGCCAAAGACACCCAGCAAGACACACCACCCCGTTATATTATACAACGGGCAAACCAGTCGTCCCACTCCTAAATTGCTGAGCGTGAAACAGGAGTAAAGACTACCATTTTTGCAGACTCTGCTATTTTTCGGCCAGGGGACAGAACCCAAAGCCTTCCTCACAGGGTCGAACGCTCAACTAAAGGCCAGAAGTGAGGCATTGTTAAGGAAGACGTTAGGAAGAAGAAGAAGAAAAAAGATAACATCCAAAATTTAGTCGCATTTTACGATCCAGTAATGGGGCTGCAGGTACAATGCTTACGCCCTACCAACATGGACCTCCATGTGTGTTGTGTAAGCATGCATGCGTGTATGTGTACCGGGAACGGGGATATTATGCCGACTTTATAGTGCTATCTCACTCAAATACCGAAGGCACCTAGCACAGTATTACACACGGATACATTATACTAACAACGGGTGAACCAGTTGTTGCCATTACCCGAAATGCTGAGCATTAAGCAGGGAATATCAAATACCATTGTTTCTGGATTTTGATGCGTCCTGGCCTTTGGACAGAAGTCGAACGAAAAATAATATCCCAACTATTGCAATTGGTGCAACAGATTTATTTTGATCGCTTTTGTGTCCCCAAACAGAGGGCACAATAATTAATTAGAACTGCTATATATTTAAGTCGTTTATATTGCAGATTGATAATATTTAAGATGAAGTAGTGGTTATATTACACAAATAACCTCATTTTGGTTCATGTTTATTTGTGCAATGTAATTGTTATACATAGTTTACAATAAATGTTCTAATTCGGATTCGATGCGAATGCGTACATCAGAGTATGGCTAAATATGCAAACTCTTTTAATAACTAAGGCAATTAAATGTACCTTATGTGGACTGAATGTATGTAAAGTAGATAATGTTAAGATTTTTACAAAATTACCGAACTTTATCGCCAACCAAAACCTTATCCTGCTCTCAAACAGTACTATTAACGATGTAATCCAACGCCGCACATATACATAACACTGTATTGATTTTACAAGCATGCATATTAAATGACCTAAGCTGTTAACAGGACGTTAAACGGAAAAAAAACAATAATAAGTATTCGTGGTAACTCATACGTGCGACTGACTATTGTACCCTATATCGGGCTTGCCGAACGTACTCCTAACATGTTTCTCATACTAACATTGTCAATACGTATACACCCGTATAAGCCAGATACCTGTGTATGTACCGGTGGTTGTGCACATATAGGTGAGATATGTGACATAGCAAAATCCTGAGCAAATTAAAACAAGATGCCCAGAGGGCTTGTATCGCTCACCTTGAAATGATAGCAAAATTTAATTTGAAATAGCAAATTGTTACTATACATGTATTACATGGTTAGCCAGGCGTATATCTATATGCAATTGGACAAAATGCTGTCATTCCTACAGGAAAAGGAGGATTTTAAAGCTATTTTTGTATTTTCCGTATTTCGCCCCACCCTCTGCCCCAGGGGGTTAAAATCCACAGATAATACAAAGTTGGTTCCCCTTAACCCAAGGGTGCTTCGACCCAAATTTGGACAAAACCCTGCCATTCCTACAAAAGAATAATTATTTGAAAAAATGCATTTTTTTGTTTCTCCTATTGAACCCTGCCCCTCTGCCCCAGGGGATCAGACCCAATGTTTATACAAAATATAGTCCCCTTCCCCAAAGAATGCTTTAGACCAAATATGAGCAAATTCATGCCGTTCCTACAAAACCACCGTTTATACCAAATTGTGTCCCCTTGGCCCAAGGATGTTCCTGACTAAATATAGAAAAAATCCCTTGATTCTTACTATAGAAGAGGGATTTTAAATGTTTTACCTCTATTTCCACTATTCGGCCCTGCCCCTCTGCCCACAGGTTGGCCATGCCCACCGTTTATACAAAATTGAGTTCCCTTAGCCCAAGGATGATCCAAACAAAATTAGGATAAACTCTCTTAATCCCTTTGGTAGAAAAGGGAGTTTAAAGAGTTTACCTGTATTTTCATTATTTTGCCCCGCCCCTCTGCCCCCAGGCCAACACCCAATGTTAATACAAAATCGAGTCCCCTTGGCCTAAGGATGTTCCAGATCAGGTTTAGTCAAAATCTTCTTGGCCGTTCAGGACTAGTAGCATTTTAAAGAAAAAGTTGACGGACGGACGACGGTCGACGGACGGACGACGGACACTGCGATATGGCATAAGCTCACAATGTTTCTTCGGACCAGGTAAGCTAAAATTCAATACATCCACATAGTCGCCATGTTCTTTCTGTGAAATTCTTAACATCGTGTTATTGCAGTGTTCCAGTTCTTGACTAGCGTCAGGACTAAATCAGGATGTAAAAATATCGATCACCAATGGTGAATGATTTTGTGTGACAGTAATGCTCAGGCGTATAAAATAATCAATGATTTTAACGAGAAATAATGACCGATCACAGTCAAATAATAAAGATACCTTACCTTAGAGTTATTTGTTCCCTTCTGTAAAACAACGACCTGCGATGCGTCTCTTTCCTGTCCGGGGTGTTCTGTCTGTGTGAGGTAAAACGTTATATATATAGATGTCGTAATGCAATAGTTTAAAGTACCAAAGTACGGTATACACGTGTCAAATGTTGTATGGGAATAATTGCATTTAAGAAAAATTGCACGATCAATACGGTTGAAATGCAAACTTAACGATATTCGCTTTTGTTGCATTTAAAGGGTAGAACGCACTTTATTAATTCTTTTCAATATCTAATGTCCTCAATGTTGAGTACCCCACCAAATGTGCGTAGCTATTAATTACTTATAATTTTAAAACATGTTATTTGTTTTGCTCAGTACATAATTTACTAGGTCATGCTAAGTAAGATCCCCAATCGAGAGAAATGGGAAAGGTAGCCAGATTTCAAGGTTGAGGAAGGGTCAGTATGATAAAAGTTAAATGATCTTAGCTGTCAATAAGACGTTTAACAAAATAAAACCAACCAAACCACACCTGAAACAAGAGATCCCAGAGGGTTCTTGGCGCCAACCATCTTCATGTTCATTAGATCTATGTCTGTTCGATCTGTTCTCATCTCTTTTTGATAGATTCATGTAAATTAGATACACGCAAAGTGAATTTGTCGTTTCACATATTTGCTAGTACAGTATTTAATATGAACCAATCATTGTAATATATGCAAAATATGTTAAGGCCTTCGTGCGGCCATCTTGTGCTAATGATTACTAACAAAATAAAACATGCACGACTACAGTCTAAGGGGAACCTTCATATCAAATTTGAGAAAATCCCTCCAGTTATTTCTGAGAAAACCCGCAAACAGATGATGGGTTTAAAATTTAAGATGGCGCCTATCGGCCATCTTGGTTTTCGATCAGTTCCAACATTTAATATGCATTACAGGGGAGTTAACAAACTGTATCTCAATAAACATCAAGATGGCGACTATCAGTCATTTTCGTACTCCGATCAGTCAACAAAAAATGAAAAGCATAACAAACGACCATTGAGAACATTCATGTACATTTTAAAAGGAAACCCTTCAGGCACTGGGAAATAGTGCTAACAAGAAATGTTTAAGGACGGACGGACGAAGGGCAATTGGAAAAGCCCACCATCTGATAAAATCTGATAAAGTCGATATATAAAAGGGATTCGTCGGGAGACCATTAAATATAATATATGTAACATTACATCCTGCTATATATACGCCTCATCCCCACCCCTCCAAAACATTTAAAAGCGTTCGTAAATGCCACTTTTCTCGGGTATGCAATGCGATCAAGTATTGAGATAACAATTAATTGAGGAGTGTGCGTTCAGACATATTAAATTAAATCGAACAACTGAACTCTATCATAAGAAGGTGTAACGTTAAACCACCTCTAATAAGCATATGTAACCAACCGAGACGTTCACTAAAACACGACACAGGACGTATTTGTGCAAATGGCACATGTGTTAAAAGTGTGGTTAGCTTCACAACAGAAAATTATGATCCGAATAATCAAAAGCATACAAAAATGAAACATAAAACAACATCTGTATGAAACATTACAATATGATGCATAAATAAAAAAACAAACATAACAGCACTTGTAAACTTTAATCAGGATATTGCATTTCAAAATTCAAGTAAACAAAACTTTGAACAACCAAATGAAATTCGAAATACTTGAGATGTGTTTTGATAACATTGGCAGCTGGCGGCATCGTGGCAATTTCAACAATAAAGGCACATAAATAACAAGAGGCCCATGGGCCTTAACGGTCACCTGATATATTTATACAGAGAGTTGATTTTGTTTCTAACATGAACAGAAATATTATTCAAAGTGACAAAAAAAACAATAAAACCACCTTACTCAATATCTAGCATACAGATTTCAGACTAAAAAGGATTTGAAACTAGCACCTCTGATTCTTAACAAGGAAAATGAAGAAATTTTACACACTGACTCCTTTGAGCCCCACCCTACAGCCCTTGGGGGTAGGGCTGGCTCAAAATTTTCAAAGTATCAAACTGTCAATTCAAGGTTATAATTCCAATCAAGTTATTAACATGTAATATTCAAAGTATCATTTGCCATTATAAACCATAATAAATTTTGCCCCCCCCC